GTTTTAGTACCGGTAACTAATTTTCTTACCAACCATGGTAGTAGGACCATCATATCACAGATTTTAAAGCACATTCAATCTCCAGGTTAACTTTTTGGCAATACTCTAACTTAATAAATGATTAATTGTTCATTTTGGCTACATGTATTTCATAGGTATGGGAGGGTTTGGGTATTTGCTTTAATGTAATTCTTTTAATTAATGTGCATTTTTAATGTTGTATAATATAATTCTATATTGCAAATGATTGTCCTTTTGTTAAGGTAACACAACACATTGTCAGGCCTTGCCTTTGTTGTATTTCCTCCATGTTAATTTTTTTTTTTTTTTTTTTTTTAATCATAATGGAAAATAAAGATTAATCGATTGATAACATACTATTAAAAAAATGAATTCATTATATTCATTAACAGACTTTTAGACACAAACAACCAGGAACCCAGATTGGGATTACCTCATTCCCACCCCTCACACCCTCACAAATGCTGCTGTGTAGAAAAAGGTCGCACTCCCACTTTCTTGAACATTTTGTGTTTGAAATAAAAATAACTAGTCTGGTATGTTTCCATATTATGAGCAACAGAGCCATGTTTTCACTTACTTCCTGTAATAAACCTTGATAATAAGGAATTGCTTTCATGGTTAACCAACCGAATACCTTCTTAACATTTTCAAAATTTGGTAACTATAGATATAAATAAACTGAACAGCTGAGTGAGTTAACCAATTGGAATTGATATTCAAATTGTGACATCAAGGCATCATCAGTTTTTTTTTCCATATATATTGATTTAGATAACTATCTGTTGCGCAGATTTAATTCACCTTTTGCTAAAGAAGCATTGTAGCTTCAGAGGACAGGGACTGAAATTTGGATTTTTAACCAATCTGAACAGGTACAGTGGCGGATCCAGGGGGTTCAGGGGGTTCGGACGAACCCCCTCTGTGAAGAAACGTAAAAAAAATACTATTGGTTCCTAGCTTACGAAAGGCATGCTACACCTACCCATAGGCATAGGTTGGCAGATTGGACAGGGCTTAGCCCAACTAGCCTTCAATTAAATAAAATTTAAAACACTGTTTTTGGTTCAACGTCGTAATAATTTATGTACGAAAGTGTTTTCTTCAGGACTATCAGTTCGTCGATCCATAGAATGATAGACTACATTTCCAACTACTCAGTATTGTTGGAATATAGTAATATATTGCTTGTGTCTTTGATTTTTTTTTTCTCTATGTATAGGCCTAAGAATGATATAAAATTACCTGACTTTTTTAAAGAGGGGAAAAATCTTGAAATTAAAGGTCTTTAAAAGACACCTCAGAAGTTGGAAAAGCTCATTTCCGGTTATGTAGGACCCCATTCCTTTTTGGGGTTTTTTTTTTTCAAAACATTCTGAACCTCCCCTCTTTGACATCCTGGATCTGCCCATGAGGTATAAGCAAATGCTGAGTCAGTTTTTGGTCTTTTCATACTTATTTTGCATCAGATAAATATTTCCTGTGATATGAATATCCAAACATCAGAGATGTATTTGAAAACTAGTCTAATCATTTTTAAGTCAAGTTTAAAAGCCATTGTGTTTGATAGTCACTTCCTGTCAGTGCTTTTTTAGTGAAGTTTGTCTTGGCAATTTTCTTTCATTTAGGACCTTTCTTAATTTTATCATTTGATTTGGCTAGGGTTCAGCCCCTGGAGTCTTTAGGGCAATATTAGCATGTCACGTGAGTGAAATTAACATTTAACATTTATTTCAAAATCCAAATTGATCAAAGCCACCCATGCTCTGAAGTATCTTGTTAACCACTCTTCTTTTTTATCAGATGACCATCAATCATTTATTTATTTTTTTAATCAGGTTGAAAAACACTTCGAAAACAATCCAGTTTCCAATATCCTTCTAAAAATATATGCCTATAAAATCTAAAATACTATTTAAAAATGAATTACTGTAATCCATGAATACATGTCCTGCAGTATTTGTCCTTGCAGTATTAAAAATTGTTGCTGTAGTGGCATCCATGATCTTCAGCTTATGGTGTAACTTTATGATAATTGGAAGAATAACTGGTTTACTAGTGCTGAGAAATGGAAATGTTTGCATATTATAAAGCAATAAATAAATTTATGTTTAAATGTAAAAGAAACAATAGTCAATTTAGATACCATTTCATGTATGGTATTATAATGATGGAACAAAGTACAGGACAAAATCATACATACAAAAAAATCCTTTCTACATGATTGCACTTCTTTTCATTTTCACTGTAATAACAAATCTGTTGTGAGGTTGTGAGTTGTGTATGGTATGCGTTATGTGATCTTCTGGAGGGGCTACTACTGCGTTCATTTTAAAGTTTTGTAATAGTATGGTCAGGTGTTTTTTTTTTATTATGTCTTTGAGTTTGTGGTTTTTATTCACTGTAATTTTAAAATTTCTTTTGTTTCTGTGAATCCCTAATCACCGGAGCTACACAAGTGTTAATGTAGCTTCCTTTAGTGATTAATGAATTCTAGTTGCCATTCAGTTCACTAGAACAGTCGTAGCAGGGTCCCCAATGAGCAGGTTAATAATGTAAATTATCTCTAACAGTTGCATATCAATTGGAGTATGGGGCCCCCCCAAACAAAATTAATTGGGGCCCCAAAAAAAATTAATTGGTGCCCCAAAAAAAAAATCACGGTAAAGTAGTTAAAAATCACCTAAAATCGCCTTTGTGAATTAGCGCAACTCAACTGATCATTGAGCTCCCCTCTCACTTCACCTTTGCGCCCCCCCCCCCATGAGCACCGCCATTTTAAGACTCCTATATATGCTACTGATCTTTAAATGACATTTCATATAAATTTTGTCTTTGGTAGGCCTACTATGTAAAAAAATTTAATTCAGACATTGGCTGCCAGGGAATATTATTTTCCACTATTTTTACGTTTTAAAATTGAATAAAAGATACTGAGATATATATATTTTGTAGTCAAATTTTAGTTTCTGTTTGGCTCACTTGCCTTCCACCTTACAACCACAAACAACTAGCACTACTACAGGTGTCCCAAGTCTCCTGGGAGTTATGGGAGTCTCCCAGAAATCGGGAAGGCCACCACACTTCCACAAGGAAAGTAAGAATGTCCTGGAAAATAACCTATCTCCCGCAAATTCATAATGTTTGAATGTTTTTATTACTTCCAATTGTCTCACTGAAGTCCTGATGGGCATCACCATGCACAGCAAAACAAATTAAATATAAGAAAGCTTACTTAACCAGATGTCCTGGAAGGGATTTCTTCCAACTTGGAATCCCTGCTACTAGCACAAAGAAAGCTCTATTCTATATGTTACATATTTTAAGAAAATAGTTGAGGACAATGCTCATGTACCCTCCTTCTAGTTGACTTGAAGACCATTATAGCACTTTGGTATAATGTGGTGCAAGTGAGTTTTTACTAAGGGCCCCTTTCTAAACCTGTTACTACCTAAACTTCATTAACCTTAACTGCACAACAGTTCCATTCAAGTTTTTGTTAAATTTTGTTTTTATTTGCTACAGGTAAATACGACATCTGTTTCAATTGGAAATAACACGAAAGACCTGGGTATCCAGGTACTAATGTAGAAACATTATGCTTCCTCGTATAATTATGAGCAATTTATGTAGTACAATGGTATGTTTGCAGTATTCTGGGTGAATAGCATGAAATGATTGGTTGATTCGTTGACCCATGTTTTATGTTAAGGTTCTTCAATGGTGTAAATAAAACATCTCCCACGATGAATCTATAGGCCTACTTACTTATTTTATCTCCAAAACATAACAGACAGTTCAAAGAACAACCAGCCAACTGAGTTAGCGGGATAGAAACACAAAAAGTGAACCTAATCGCTGTAACTAAAAGTCAGTGTTTCCAACTCACCCAGTTTCACATTGAAATATACATAAATTGATAAAATAAATTATATATATATTAAAATGTACATCAAAATCTACCACATTAAAAATTCCATCAAAAACAATAATAAAAAATGAGATAAAAGAATTAAAAATAAATAAGCAAAATAAGAAACAAGCATAAAAAAGGGTTAATTCCTATCTGAATCTGTTGAAATGTGTAAAAAATAAATTCTATATTATTTCATCTGAGAACAAACATATGTACTCTATGTAGATGTAAATAAATACAGAGAATATTTTAGTGAGAAGCAAAACATGTTTTAATAAGGTATTTACAATGCAAAGCAGATTGATCACAAAATCAGAAACAATGTAAAACATCAGATCAACCCAGCTTTTATTGCTTAAAACTGTCAGGGCCCCATTGAATGAAACTATGGTATTTAGTTTATATTATATTTTTTTAACTAAAATTTCGGGGCCCCTCGTACCTGGGGTTAGAAACTAATTCCACCATGGTAATAGCTTATTGCCCTACACAGAACACAACACACCACAACAACACATTTATAACTTTTTGATACTCACAGTTGCAACTTAGATTTATATGTAGGTTTATATAGTATATATCCAAGTGGAATGTATCTTGAAATATGTGTCTGGTTTTCTAAAACATTTTGCAACAGTTAGGCACTTGGGCAGTACTGTAGCTTGAGAACAGAAATGAAGCAGCTATATATTCTGTTTCACTTTGGTGGGTGTATTGATATAACAGGAAGTTATGTTACACATGCATGGCTGAGAGGGGAAGTGGATGAATAAATACTTGATTCTTTATGGCACCTGAATTTTCCTTTTATTTAGCATTAACAACCAATAAATGCGCCATACCATAAGTACTGTACACTGATTGGCTGCTTTTGGCTCATGTTTGCTATACCTGTGGTAGGCTTTATTTTGTGAGGACTGGATGCACACAGTATTGTTCCTGAATTCTTAATCAATGTCCTGTGTGTAATAATGGTGCATAGATGCATAGTAATGACTTTGGATTTATAGCAGTGCCCCTGGATGCATGTCCCATAGATGCAAAGTGAATGTCTCAAGATGCACTAATGTTGATGGAAACCAAGGACCTAATGATGTCCATGGTTTAGTGTACACTCATTGGCTGAGCCTAGCTGTTTCTATGTCGTCGTTGTACATGATTACCGTCTAGCTTCTAATTTACACACCCTGTTTCGTAACATTTTTTTATTTTTATACTCACTGTTGCAAGTAAGCTTCTGTATATTCCAATGCAAACTTTAAGTATTTGTTTTTCTCTGTTTTTGCTGAAGTTACTTCCAACAGTAAAATGTTAGGCCTTTACAATTTATATATGCAACACAACAGTTCACTAAGCATATTTCAATTACATGAATACTGTACTGTAGGTAGAAATGTTATATGCTTCCCTGGATATAATAGTGCACTTGAACTTTGGTGTACTTTTATACTAGAATGATCAATGATTATTGAAATGGAAGACAAATGTAAATTATAAGTTGATAAATAATAGACCTTTCCGGAATGTAAAATAGTCCTGTCGACATCGGATTACACAGTGTAAACAGCCCCGACATTCACAAACCGGGATTTTTAATCGTTCACTTTCATTAAAATTATTCTTTTTTTTTTAATAATATTATTTGTATATTTTATAATTAAAAATAATAAACATAATTAAGTTATATTTTATTGCTTTGGATTGTATTTTTGATTAGAAATTAATTTGCTTTTTAGTGTACAAATAAATTATAATGTTTTCCCCATGCAAAACTAAACTTGATTGCAGACATAATGAGCTACTTTTGCTCAAAAATGTCCATAGAGGGCAGCCAGTGTTTGTTGTCAAGTGTAAATGGCTGCGACCCGAGATCATCCCCCAGTTTCTTTGTTAAATGTAAATGGGTTTTGGCTCCGGCGTTTGTTTGGGCTTGATAGTGTAAAAGTGGTATTAGAAAGCTCCGTGTCTCCCACATGCTGCGCACTTTGTCATATAATAGGCCTAATTACATACAGTAAGTAAAAATCCCATTAAGAGCCATATACTACCATCATTGACAGATCATCATCGTAAGATGTTGACAATAATAGTAATAGATAAGTAAAATAATTAGTATATTATTATTCTTTCAGCAACAATATGCAACTTCAAGTGGTATATGATGCAGAGAGTGGTTTATTGAGATGGTGTACGCCAGAGATTGTGATATCCTCTCTTGATGCCAATAACACAAATAACTTTGTTCTTAGTATCAAAACTGGAGAGGTTAAAAAGGTAGAAAGTAGAGATCATTTTATCTCTATAAGGAATAGTGCTATAATAATAGTATTTTGTATTGGTGGTGGTAAGTTATTTAATTTTTTTACTTTTACTAAATTTTAGCACACAATATTTCCTACATACATACACACGTTGGAACATTTAGGGGGAAAAAAAAGTCTAGTTTCTCATCCCTGCGCATATCCATTTTCTCTACCTCACCAAATTTTATTTTTTTTTTTTTTTCATTTCCTTTATTTTACGAAATGTACAAAAATCTAGTTAACTCACATCAGTAAAATTCCTCTCTGAATTGTTCGTGGTTGGGGATACATATGATATGAATCATGTCTAGTGCTTCTCTTATTTACATTAAATTTGTATACTTGGTAAAATTGAGACAGTAGTAGCTATTTCCCATCAACCATCTTGGATTTGCCATCTCGGAGTTAAAAGTGCACTCATTCTCCTTTTTTCAAAATATTCGGATGAGAAACTACTTTTTTTTTCACTTGGCCTTATATAGCACTTTTTAATGAATATCAGAGTGCTTTTTTGTTTTTTTTTAACTTATATACTGTAACGATATAGAGTAGATGAAATACATGTGTTGAGGAGTACGGTAATTTCAGTATTTTACATGCTCGATGTACCATAGTTACGGGTTTGCGCATGCATATTTTGATTTGTTTACAAAAGGGGCGGAGCTATCGTGTTGCATGTTGAGTACTAACGTTAAATTAAAGTTAATGTCGTGCAGCGAAAACTACCTAATGTGAACCAAAGTTACCACGGAATCATACTCTAAAATGGTGTACTAGAAATTTATTAGGCCAAATAAAAATTATTGTGTTGTCATGCACAGTGACATATAAAAAGCAATCAAATCAAACTTTCCAAATCGTGGATAGTGGTTGTTGCAATAACATGGTTTTGTCTTCTTTAGGTTATCCAGATGGAAGTGTTTTGCTAGAAGAAAATGTAAGATACACTACTTTAAAACTAAAGATGTATTACATTATGTGTGTTTGTGTATATGATGTATGTGTATGCATACATGATGCATATGTATGTATTGATGAATAAGAACATTATGTTGTACTTCATGGTACAGTAGAATCCCACCTTTGGGACACTCCTTAAGGGGACACCCCTATTAATGGATACTGCAATGGGATACCCCTGTTAATGGGGAACTCTTTTTGGTTTTGAGGGTGTCTCTTTAATAGAGATTCTACTGTATTTTATTACTACAGAAGAACCACTATTAATCGGACACCTTTGTGACCAAAAAGAGTATGCCCTTAATAGGGATGTCCCCTGAATGGGGTTGGCCATAGTGTTAAAAGCATTGGCGCATATGGACGGGGGACAAGTCCCTTCACATAATTTTGATTTGCGGGTTAGTCCACCACATTTCGACCGCAATGTACTTTCAAAAGTAAAGATGGTGCCTGAAAGCTGTTGAAATTAACTGCATAACTGACGCATGTTTTAATGAAAAAGAGCTGTACAGCCTGAGTAGAAAACCATGCAAGATAAGAGGCCCCCTAAATTGCACTTACGGTGGTCAAGATTTCATTTTTCCCCATTGACCTTGCTGGAATTTTCCTGACAAGGGGGTCCAAGAGGGTGTCCAGAGGTCATCGGGGGTCCTTTGTTCCCCTGGAACCCTGCTAGCGCCGCCCCTGTTCTGAAATGAAATGTTACCCCACCTTTCAAAACAAACCTTTCCCTTGGTTATAAGATATTTTACCTCATTTTGTTGCCAAAAAAGTGTCCCCTTAATAGAGGGGTATCCCCTTAGAGAGTAGTCCTAAATGAGGGATACTGTAATTTTGTTTTTGTAATGTCATTTTGCTAAATATAAACCATTGTGTGCTGCAAATTTAAATTTCTAAATCATATCTGTAATGTGTATCCAGTCAATGTTGTTGCTTACTGGTTTATATTTAAACTATAATAAATATTTTCAAACTGCCAATACATTACTAAAATTCACTTTTATTTTTATGTGTTTTGAGGTGGGAGAGGATGCTATAAAAGAAAATAAGTTGTTGGTCCTTGACTATCTAAGGTAAGCTGGCTGAGGGATTTAAATATATAAATATGTGTTGTGCTAGACATTTAAGCCATTGGTTCCATTTGCATTGGCCCAATATGCATGGTTAGAACACAGTAGGCACTTTGGAAGTGTAAGGGGTTATCTCCAGGTGTACTGGCCATCTTACCACCAGAAGGTTCAAGTGGAAACAGGTCTTCAGACATAAATTTTATATAAAAACTTGTAATAACCCCAATTTTGGAGCCATTATTTTCTGCCTTCAGCCCTGCAGGCTTCACCCTCCATTGTCTATAGCAGGGGTGGGCCGCAAAATCGGTCGGAGGGACAAAGTTAATTGTTTATTTAGCATATAGGGCTACACCTAAACGTTGATGTTTACAGCATGCTTCCAAAAAACTTCATGAACTGCTTTTATACCACTTTATTCTCGGTTTAATGTCTTTTTACAGATGATCAGTGTCGGGCTGTAAAAAACAAGGTGCTTTCTAGCCGCTCTTTGCTTACCTGTGTTCTATAGGGTCCTCAGAACTTAACAAATTGCATAATAGTATAATAATATAGGCCAAAGTTAGGCATTCGATATTTCTTACATCAATTTTTGAACTATAGTATCTTTATTTTCACTCAAGGAAAGCGAAAAAGAAAAATGAAGGAGTAGATAAGAATAAAGACAACTTCGAGCAGGTGGCAGAACGGTTAAAACACATTGAGACAGAGAGATTTATTCATATCGATGAAGAGATAAATATTATCGAAGGGGTTAATTGTACCAAAATGTCATTGTTGAAAGAGATAGTAAAAAAGAAACAGCTTGTTCAATCAGACAAAGATTGCCTAGAGAATCTAAAGATAACTCTGGCAAATGTAAGTAGACAAGCACTAAAATATTCAATTTATTTTGCTTTAATCTACATGATAGTTCATAATAATAATAAATACTTAATTAACCACTGAAACTCTTGTTGAAAAATGTTCATTTGCTTTGTGCATAATGTGATTAGATTTTTTTTTCCTGAACCCCAAAAAAATTGTTTAAATAACTTTTTAAGTTTTGATGTACATATTTCTCGGTTTGAAAAAAAGAAATTTTAACAAATCACAGAAATGTTATCAACTAAACAGTTCTTTCGGTGTTGGCTCCAGCAATTGCCATCACGTTGAAGGTGGGGGAGGGAAACCTACAGGATTTCTAGGTTCTCTGGTCATGTGTAAAATATATATCTTGCATGAGTATGAGATGACAAACAAATTAAATAATGTTTTAAAAATGATTTGCTTACTTTGCAGTTGATGGTTCGAAGAGAGAAAAATAACGAACTAGTTCAACAGAACAGGTAAAAACTGATTTTCATGTCCAAGAGAAACCACTTTCCTTTGCTTTTCTTTATAAAACTGTGCAATTAAAGTGGTTAAAGTATCAGGAAAGCACTGATTTTTCTCCAGAGAATTATGACTGAGTCTCAAAACTTTATTTAAATGATTGATGCTGTTACAATAAACTATACTGTAATCATGCTGATTATGATGAGCAAATAAACATAAATTGAAAGGGCACGGCATTCTGTATTACCTTACCTTCCCAGGACCACATTCAAAAGGTTTGTAGCGACGCCCGACCATTGACACTTTTTTTCTCGTCTAGGACATCAGTCCCCCGTCGTGGGAAATTTGGGCACTGCCACTGACCATGGTTAGGGTTGAGGTAATAAAATTTATGATTATGGCACCACTAGATGGCCAGATATGGCACTATTAGACTCAATTTTTTTTTTTATTATTTTTTTGAGGGGGAGTGGGCCCCCCTCTTGAATCTGCCACTAGTGATGTCATTTTAATGTTCACATGTCTGTTTTTCTGCAGGAACTTTGGCTTCCCTGAAGATCACCAAGATGTAATCAGGTAAATTATGATTGTATAATGGAAAAAATTGCATGTTCCTAAATCATCAAGAATTGACAGTTGTTCGAAAATTAAAAGAAACTTTAAAATTATTGATAATATTATAAATAGGCATACCAACCAACCTGCTCTTCCTTATGAGACAAATTTTGAAAAACTTACTAAAAGTTTCTCTACTTTCTTCCAAAAATTATTTAATTCATTCTGAATTTGATTCACCTAAGTTCAATTTTGCCACTACTTGTGACACAAAATGTAACTTAAAATTTGAATCTTTCGTAAACGTCAATTACAATGGCCTTAAAAACTCACTCTTCATCTAACTCAATTTGCCTGTTAGATTCTTTACCGATGTATCTCAATAAAGCTTGTTCTGCTGAGCTCAGTCATTTAAGCTTCCCATTGTTACACCATACTTTAAAAAACATAATCTTGACAAGGAAGATCTCAGTAATTTCTGTCTGATTTCCCATCTGCCATTTGTCTCAAAATTGCTTAAGAAATATGCTCCTATTCAGCGGTGTACAGTAAGAATGGCCCCGGAAAAAATGGCCCCGGAAATAATGGCCCCGGAAAAAATGGCCCCGGTAAAAATGCCCCCATATGACAGGTAGGTAAAAATGGCCCCAATAATCAAATTCTGAATTAAAACTGATTTTCTTGAGTCATTATATGCATTTTTTTATCTTAACTAATTTAGTTTTTAAAAAGGATCTCCCCAATAATCAAATAACTCATTTAAATTCTGTAACACACAATTGATCCACATGCTTTAACTACTGTTTATTTGCATTGTTTATAACATGTAAAGTTAATTCATTTGATATTTAACAAAAGTGAAGTTTGTGGTTACCTATGAGTTGCATATTTTGGTAGTTAAAGTACTGTATACTGTATGTCATTCCTCTACTTTGTTAGTGAAATAACGTTTTTAAAACTTTTATTTCTATTATCAAAAAATGTTATTCAATGGCCTTTGTTTTTCAATTATCTCTCAGAACATTTTTTGCATCTGCTGTAATTGTTAAAAAACAAATGCTTTTAAAGAAATAAAAAAAAATCACATATTGATCTCAGTTCAAAGGAAAAAATAAAACTTATTTCTAAATTTACAATTTTCACCTATAAAAGTCTTAATTTCACAAAAGAGTGGGTTCTTTTTCAAACAAATACATCCTGCCTAATATATGTGTGTTTAGATTAGATCTTTTGCTTTAACTTTGGAAACTGAGATCATTTTAGATACTATTTCTGTATAAACCAAACTTTTTTTTTTCATATTACTGTAAACCTAATGGGTTTTGATAAATTTACTCTGCACTACGGAATTTCCAATAAAAAAAAGAAAATTAATTAAAAAGACCATAGATTAAAAATAAGTAAGGCATAACATATTTCTAATCTATGTTAAAGCACACATCTAGATGTGTATAAGAGACAGGTCTGGTACACTGTGGAACGCATCTTA